AAAACACTCGTGCCTTGAAGCAGAGCGTAGATGCCTCTCGCTACTTGAGACTACCCCCGACAAAAGACCCCCACTTTCCAACGTCGAAGACCAGGAATCTACCATGGATCCCCCCGAGCTACGAGTTGAGAAACCCTCTCCAACAGAGAGCGACCACTCCAGTCCAGCAACCCGCAAGACACTACACCAGAACATCTTGGGGAAACTCCGGCCCCTCCCCCTGCAGTACCACTGGACCTTCTGGTACGACAAGCATGCCGAGGGCTCCTCAGACTACGACGACAGACTGTACGTCCTGTACGAGGACGTTGCAGACATCGCGACCTTCTACCGCGTCTACAATAACTACCCCTGGGAGAAGATCCCGCAGCGCGACACGGTACACATCTTCCGGAAAGGCGTCAGGCCCGTCTGGGAGGACCCGGAGAACCTCAGGGGTGGGTGCTGGAGGTTCCGCGTGCCAAAGAGGAAGGCGCAGGCGTTCTTTCACGAGATTGCGATCCTTTGTCTGGCGAATGAGTTCCAGGCGGCGCTTGAGAAAGGTATGTGTGCACCTCTCGGGTGGTTTTCTCTTTGATGGTTCTATTTCTGCCGCGGAGGCTGACTGGCAGGGACAGAGCATGACCATGTCCTCGGAGTGTCGACATCGATACGGTTCAACACGCACTTGATCTCGGTATGGAACAAGCTAGGCTCGAATGAGCGCTCTATCAAGATACTAGAGGAGACGATCCTTTCCCGGTTGTCGCCGAATCTGCGGCCGACTGACCCAGGCCCTAATTCTTACTTCTATAAGCGCCATGACCAGAACGACGGCTACAAGGAAGCCGTTGAACAGCAAGACGCTTCGAAGCAGTGAAGCGTTGCCCGTTTGTCTTGTTGTATTTGAGTAGTTATTTTGCCGACCCAGGCCTCGACAGCTATAAGCTGATCATTTGTTATTTATGTGTATAGTTTAGACTATAAACTAGGCACCTCGGGACAAGAGCCAGAGGTATAGTAGATTTAGTTGCAAGAAATTGATCTTCAATGCCCAGATCGCATCAAGGATACCGATGTTCTCATTAACTGATTATTATGATATATAGATAGTGTACACGGTAATCATACATGGCTGTGGCCGGGGCTTACTCCCTCGAAGAAGTTTTCTCTTCGGTATCACCTGGCCGCCAACTTTGTGCCTTGTGATTCTGATCACGGTTTCTGTCGCGGTTTTGATCTCGGTCTCCACCGCCGCCTGGCATATACCGGTCTATCTCGACAAAGCCTCGCGACCGTTCCTCAGGGCGCTCAGGTGATCGAACTCGTCGACGGGGGGAACGGCTCCGGTGGCTGGTCAAGGGTACGTAGCGATCGATATCAAGGAGACTTGGAGAGCGTCGTCGAGAGCGGGAGCGACGACGAGGCGATGTAGATGGTTTTCGCTCTCTGTCCCTCCCACGGTCTCGATCTTTGTCCCTCTCCCTGTCCCTTTCAGCAGGCCTGTCCCGCTCCCGATCTCTTTCCTTTTCGCGGTCTCTTTCTTTATCCACGGGCCTCTCCCGCTCCGGGTCTCTGTCCTTCTCGCGGTGCCTTTCTCTGTCTCTTCCCTTTTCACGTTCCCTTTCCTTGTCTCGGTCTCGTGACCTCTCCCGTTCCCTGGACTTATCATCTCTGTTTCTCTCTCGATCCCTGTCACGATCTCGATCTCTCTGAGGCGAGCGCGGACGTGAGCGTGAGCGAGAGTAGTGGCTATACCGCCGACGGTATCTATCACGGTCGTCCCTATCCCTGTCCCGAGCGCGGTCACGATCGCGACTGCGGTCCCAGCTTCGATCTCGACGGCGGTCATGGTCCCTGTCACGGTCTGTCCTCCGCTCACGGTCACGGTCACGATCTCTCTCCCTTTCCCTGTCCCTATCTCGATCCCGTTCGACCCTGTCGTGGTCGCGATCATTTCGCTCAGGATCACGGTCCCGGTCCCTATCCCTATCATGCGTTGTTCGAGTGATGGATCGACTCCTGCTACGACGATTTGGCCGGTAGTTTCGATTGCCGTAGCCCTCTCGGAAATCGCGAATAGGTAATTTGTCTTCCGACGCACGTTCTCGCGGCCGGTCTGATACTTCTCGCGAGCGGCCGTGACGGTCTTCCTCAAACCGCGAGCTTCTACGCCTAGAGTCGTTGCGGCTGATGTCTCCCCTTCGGTTTCGCTCATCCACCCCCGTCGACTCACGTCTGCGGTTTCTATCCGACTCAACAGCTGGGCTTCCTGACTTGGTTGGAGTATTTGAAAACCGGGAATCGGACATGCCTTTAGGCTTCGTCGGTGGTAACTTCAGTCCATTTTCGATAGCTTCGGCTTCCTCGAAATCAAACTCCGGCTTCTGTCGAGCCTTTGCCGCAAGCTCTTCACCTTCCTTTAGCAAGAGCTGTAGTGCGGTTTCTTCCAAAGTCTTCTCATCCACAGGCGCGGGTGGAGGTACAGGTGGAGTAGGCTCCTTTGGCGTTGGGGATTTGTCCTTTTTGGTATCTCGTTGACGAGGCGAGACCCCACGCTCAGAGCGATAACCTGGGGAGCGATCACGATAGCGATAAGAATCTCTCCGGTCCCGATCTCTGTCTGAATCCCTATCCCGTGTACGCGAACGGTCTCGATCACGATACCCCCAATCTCTGTATTTCTCCCGGTCTTCGCGTCGCCGTCGCTCGTACCGTTCCTGTCGTTCCTTCTCTCTTTGTTCATCGAGTTGGCGGTGTTCTGCGCGTCGTTGTTCGTCACGTTCCCTTTGCCTTGTGCGCTCTTCATCATCCTTTTGGCGCTGAATTTCGCGCTGCTTCCGGTCCTCTTCTGCTTTTAGCCGGGACTCTTCTTCCTCGAGTTCCCTTCGCTTGCGCTCTGCCTCCTGCCACAGTTTTTCGCGCTCATCCCGTCTAGCTTTCACAAATACAGCGTATTCCTCGTCGGTCTTATTACCAGCCTGTTCTTCACGCGCGGCATTATCTTCACCAATTTCCTGACGGCGAATCTCACGGATAGACTCTAATATAGTGGGGAGGTGTTGTGCGGCCAGCGCATCCAAAGTTTTCTCCACCGTCTTGTAGACATCGCTTCGATCCACTGCGCCTTCAATTAGTGTCGCAGCCTTGCCTTGGTCTCTCGAAAGAAGTGAAGGGTCGCGCTCGATTTCGGATTCAGCTAAGTCGGTGAGTAGCTTCGTGAATTCCGCTTTTCCCTCCTAGCGCGTAGTCAGTAGCTGGTACCACAAAGAGTTGGATATAAGAATCGCAAAGCAGCATACTCCATCGTGAAACTCAGACCAGATCTTCTTCCGAATCGTATCGAATCCCCCCTTTTTCTTAAAGCTGTGGAGCAGGTTCTCAATAGCTTCGTGTTGCCCAGCGGTCAAGGGTAGCTCTTCCGTCTTGAACTTCTTGCGTTGCAAACTCTCGACATCAACGGACGGTCGCTTGACGCCGTTGATGTGAGGGCTGGTGGCCTCGACAGGCCCATCCATAACAAGAAAAACCGGAGGACCTAATGCGACGTTCTCTGATCCCAAAACCAGTGGGCCAAGAAGAAATTCCGAGCAGATCGCGATTGCCGCGCGTGTACCAGACCCTGTGGTGCAGGCGGCCGACGGGCTTCGGAGAAATTGGCGTTCCGGAGCGGATTGGGAACTGCCGCCCCGTGATTCGACGCTGCAACAACTTCATCCTGGATCGACCGTCTGTGTTTGTGGTCGAACGAGCTCCATTGCGTCGCTAGCTCGTGTCCTTTTCGCGAAGTGACTGCTTCTTGCCATTTCAGCAGTCCCGGGTACCCCATTTCCTCCTCTATCCGCGCATCCGCGACCCCTCCTCCGCCACTATGGTCCACAAAGTCCTCTTCTGGGGCGGCTTCGGTACGTACGACAAGTCGAGTTTATGTCACCGGAGTGGCTAGTCGATTGGCATCATCGCTCTGTCAGCTCGCTTGAATCGCCTATCTACAGTTATCATCATTGTACTGACCCCTCAACTACAGGCATCGCCGTCCGGCTCTGGCAACTCGGCATCGAAATGCGTCCGATCCTCGCCCGTGAATCCCTCTGGGTATACCCCCTCTTCGCTGGTGTCGGTGGCAGCTTTGGATACTGGCTCCAGGGCGTCGAGCAGCGTCAACTCCGGATCCTCGCACAGCAACGGGAAGCTATCCTCGAGAAGCGCCGGCGACGAGACCAGGGCACATTGAGCAAGGTGGAAGAGGCCGGCACTCTGGCCGCGACGTCGTGAAACTGTACAATCCTGTTTGTGTTTATATTGTCATGTCTTCTTTCGATTTGTTCATGGGATCGCGGGTGGTGGAATAGACGGGGGGTTGACTCGGGGACCCAGGCCTGTACGTACTTAGTACGAAAATGCAAAAGGGTTCGGACCCGACATTATTCTGATATTTACGAGAAGGAATATTCGGCGTTTGTTACCGCGAACTGTTTTCCTGAATGCAGGTTGCAGAGTAGAGGATCAATGTGGGCTTCAAACACAGTTTACTCGGTACAATGCAAGACATCTGTTGTCCTGGATTAGTATATGTATATCTCCCCTTGTCTTGCAAAGGTCACCTGGAGGGATTCTTGACTCAGTTTCAATGCACTGCCGTCATAAGCTTGAGTTTCCGAATGTTATGTTTTCTGTTCGAGTGCCGTCATGGTCGATTCAAACTAGACGTCTAAGTGCAGGGTAACAGAGGACCTAGCTAACAAGGCTGTAAAACTGGAGGAAAGAAGTTATGCTCCGATACGGTACTTGTTGACCTCAGACTATATAACCACCTGAGGCGAGGGTGGTGTGGAAATATAGAGGGGATCATTCTCTCCTCAAGTCTGCAAAACTGCATTTTACCTGTAATCATCTTTTGACTCGTCGGTGCCAGTCAAAGCTGTTCCAAGTTATTATACCCTACCTTAGGTATTGTCATCAAGGAATTGTTGGATTTTTATACTTGGTTGCAAGTAAGTCGAAAAGCAAAAAAAATCATGCGTCAGCGACCGGATTCGAACCGGCGCGGGCGAACCCAACAGCTTTCTTAATCGTCGTTCGAGGCTGTCGCCTTAACCACTCGGCCACACTGACTAGAAGACTTTTATTGTCTAGCTAATTCTGTCCTACATTCCAAAAGCCAGTGTGTTTCTAGCAACCATCCTCCGCTGCCTACTTACAAACACTCCGTAGTAGTTGCTTGTTCACCGGTTCGACATTAGCCAGTCAAAATCGCCAATATATAGTAACCGGACTCTCTACCTAGTATATACTTCTAATACCTAATCCTAAATACAGGAAATATGCCGTCAAAGAGAAGACTGAATCCAGCTCAAGACTTCTCTATCATGAATTGAACAGAAATCTCCCACTTCTGACCACCTCCCCCGTATCCTCCACCAAGTCGGTTCCTGATGAGGCTCGACACACGCTCACGGAGTCTGGAGAGATTGTCTTCGGATCCAGAGACGCGAAGCTTCAGATTCGCCATGCATAGGCCGTAATGTACCTGCCAGAACCGAGCGTCATCGACGGCAAATACGGATGGGTCCGCTTCGATGTCTCGAAGGACGTCAGAGACTCCGGGTCCCGAGTAGGACATGAGGAGCATTGATCCTAGAGTTTTGACTAGTCGCACTCCAATAACGCACATGGATATCGAGATCGTGCTAGACAGCAGGACATCCAGCCAGTTGTAGAGCTGGACAGAGACCAATGGGAGGATCAAGAGCAGGGTGGAGCAGGAAAGGGTGAGGAAATGGGATGGGTTGCTTAGAACCGAGGGCAGTGACTCAATGTACCCGAAGCGCATTGCCTTTCCAATTCGTCCATGGTTTCTTAAGCCAATCGCAGAGACCAAGGTTGATGAAATGGCGAGGAGCGCGGTGAAGTCCACGCTTCCTGGAGAGACACGTTCATGAGCATGTGAGTGATGTGGCTCGTGTCCCGAAGACTCGAGGAAATGCTGTAGGTTGTGCGAGATCAGGTCCATCCCCATGAACAACAAAAGAACACACATGGCGAATCCAGCCAGCACTTCCGCACGCTCCAATCCAAACGGATGCCGGATGCTCGACCGCTTCCAGACCTCAAAGTTGCCCAATATATCCACAGCAACGCAGAGCATTGCGCCTAATGAGTCGAATAAGATCAAATGGGACAAAGCCGTCATTGCCAGGGATCCATGGGCACTCCACAAAGTATAAGCGGCAACAAACATATGGCATACGCTCCACCAGAATCTCCGTTTCTGGTCAACGGACATGCTAGCTCGGCATTCTTTCAGAGTCGGTATAGGTAGCGAATTGGGCAAGGCTAGAGGAGCCCTGGGAGGCGGTTCGATGAAAATCTGATGCGAGATGCTACTGTGCTTGTACTTGTGGCCACGCCGCTGGCCAATGTTCTAGGAAGACAAGAGTCAATGTCATGCGCTGATAGAATAAGACATAAATCAAACGTACTGACTTCACGACAGGGCTCTTAGCCATAGTCGTAGTCTTGAAATTGAATGGTCCTGAGCCATTGTCGCTTTGGCCATTCTGTTGCGCAGAATCCACAGAGAGATTGAACGAGGCCCTTGTAGGGCTTAGCCGATTTCGATCATCCGAGTCGGAAGTATTTCGCAATGACGAGGGAAACGAGTCCACGAGAGGTGACAAGGCGTCGCGGTCAACAGCGTATGATGGATAGCTGGAAGTGCTGGGGGAGTCATCGGGGGGCGGAGTTGGAGTTCGCGGAGGCACAGGGAGAGGATAATTCGACGCCATTGCGCCGGCGCAGGAGAACACTGCTCGGTATCGCGGTTCGATGAATCGATGTTACGCCTGCTCGATACAACCGAAAAGAAGGTCGATCTTGAGAAGGTCTGGAGCGCAAATGGAACACGGTTCGTGGATAAAAGAGCCAACCGGGTCAGGAGGCGGGGAGGAGATAGTAGCGGCCTCAGGTCCGAGCGGAGCCTACTCGTCGCATCATCGACTTTCCGTCTTCCATAGTCATTTCAACTTCCATCTTTCTTCATTTCTACATCCTTTGATGCGCCTTTACCCTTTTCATGATTAAGAATATCTTTCGACCATCCCCGGCAATGCGACTCCCTTTGGCGACTTAACGTTGCTTGATTCATCGGGGGTCCTCGGATGCTGGCGTTTACCTAGTCAACTATGGATCACCGCGGCTCGTTCTTCTTTTTTTTGGTTGTCTTTTACTTTCTTCTCAGCTCACAGTCACATCCTCCGTTAATATCGCAGGATCGCGAACACCAGCGAGAGCTGGAGAGAGAACGGAATGCGCTTCGCCTATTGAATGAGTCCAAATATGGGGACTTCGAGCCAGGAGCGGACAAGTGGCTTCCATTTGTTGGGGCCCGGAAGAATGATAGTTTTGACTGGGAGCTTCTCGCAGACGCTCAGGATCGAGCGCGATATCAGCTGCGATCAACCTTCACAGATGCTGGTCTAGTCCCTCCGGGAGGGCTCGAAAACGGCGATACATCTGGTGCCCTGAATCTCTCTCAGCTCGCCCTTCCCGTCTACCATAACTCAACGGGCACGTTACGTGGGGACTGGGTACGCCGCAAGTCGGATACGGTCAGACCGCCGCTCAACAAGACCGCTATCGTGCTCCAGCACGAATATCTGACCCATGAGTTCAGTCAGAACATCACAGGAGATAGTGGGACCTTCTATCTGAACATACACGAAGGAGGCGGAGAAGAAGTGAAGTCGACGGGAGGACATGTTCGAGAGATTCGAGCGACCTTGGCCGTGGAAACAGGTGACTATTGGGGTAACACATGGTATCTTTCCTTGTATGGGATACACTTTCCTGATACCGGAGGCATCATCCTGACCACGACGAGTGAGAAATTCCGTGGTGTTTTTACTCTACCGCACTTGGCCATGTCAGTCGACTCGTTCAACATCTCCCACCAGCTTCTCGCCAAGTCACTCTCGGATACTATCGCGGAAAAACGGAATCGGCCTCCTACGCTTTTCCCTTGGACTTCGCTCGTAGGAACAGAGCAGGTGGAATTCCCGGCTCCAAAATGCGAACACATCGTTTACCTACAGCAGCACCCGGTAGCCATAGAGGGCTATTTGGCGGACCAGGTGATTATTGATCAGATAGAGCAGGAACTGAGATATCCGATGGGCGCGCCAATCCCTTCACCACCTCTGATGGTCATGTCAGGTGTGGTTTACTCTCCTGATTGTGGATACATCCTTGAGACTAAGGAAGCTGCCGATTTTTCCCCGACAGAGGGGCTGTATCTTCTGGGCCATAAATCAGAGGAGTATGCCAAATACGCCGCTCGTGTAGTATTTTTGATGTCCGCAGCGTTTGTTGGGCAGATCACCCTCCTCATGCGACAAATCAAAGATACTTCCACTCCCTCAACACGCAGTCGAGTCAGTTTCTACACCATGGCGCTCATGGGGTATGGAGATGCATTCGTGCTGGTATTCCTCCTACTAGAGCTTTACCCGGATATCTCATTCCTGGTCACATCGGTAATATCGTTCCTGGCCTTCCTTTCTGTTAGCTACATTGGCATGAAATTTATGATGGAAATTTGGGCCATTCAAAGTCCCGAACGGAGGCAGGAAAACCGCCGAGCAAATCCTTCAACATTAACTACTCGTCCGGGCGAACTCCCTCCTCCTGCGACAGCCGCTCGAGTCCGTGATTCTGGAGCCACGCCGATTATTTTGACACCTGATCAGGATCCCCCTGCCGACGAGGATGAAGCAACTACACCTAACCGGTCTACTGTGCCAACAGCACAAGAGACTCGCAGCGACGTTGGTGCCATGTATGCGCGCTTCTATTTTATCCTCTTTGTTATGCTCATCGTGTCTGTCTGGTCATTCCTCTGGCCTAATAGACTGGGTGGCTGGTATGCTCGAGGGCTGGCGTTCGTCTACCTGTCGTTCTGGGTTCCGCAAATCTACCGGAATGTCATGCGCAACTGTCGGAAAGCTCTACGATGGGACTTTGTGATAGGCGAGAGCTGTTTTCGTCTGTTCCCGTTTGTATATTTTCTTGTTACTCGCGAAAACATCTTGTTTGTCCGGACAGACGTCAAAACCGCACTCGCGCTGGCCGGTTGGGTCTGGGTCCAAGTCTGGATCTTGGCAAGTCAGGACATTCTAGGCCCTAGATTCTTCGTCCCTCGAGGGTGGGCGCCTCCGGCATATGACTATCACCCGATTCTTCGCGAGGGTCCGGAGGAGGATATTGACCTTGAGTCAGGTGGCGTCCTTCCAATTGGAGCTCTACGAGCAGACGGACGAGACTCGAGCGATGTCAAGGATGACGACCGACACCGCAACAAAGACCGGAAAAGGGCCATCTTCGACTGTGCTATATGTATGCAGGACATCGAGGTACCCGTTCTCGCAGCGCCCGGGGCCGCAGGCGGCAGTAGTGTTGCAGACGGGGCGGCGAGTATCCTCACTCGCCGGACATACATGGTCACTCCATGCCGCCACATTTTCCACAGTGCTTGTCTCCAGAGTTGGATGAAGCTCCGACTGCAGTGTCCAATATGCCGCGAGTCTATTTCTCCAGTTTAGAAGCTCATTGGCTTTCCATAGCATTAGATAGATGGTGTTTCAGAGTAGAATATCTTGGCTGTACATTCGCCTTGTGTTTCTTTTCAACTTAGATTTGTTGACCGCATTGCCATCGCCAGCGGCGTATCGAGCGACGCCAGGCGCTTTGACATCAGATCTACACTAAACCCTCGGCACGATGGCTCCTGAGCAAAATGTATAATATTTCCGCCTTCAATGTTGAACGTTCAAAGCGCATGCAGCCGACGAGGGCCGAATATAGTCTAACAGGAAAACCACCTCTCACCAACGAAGAGGGCAAGAAAAAGACAGAGCAAGGTACGAAACCAAAGCAGAACCGCTCCACATTCCATTCATTTTCAGAAACGCATGTCAAAAGTATACTCCTCTCTACAGCTCAAATCTCCTAGCTGCAGCGTCTATTCCTCATCAATAGTATCTTTGTAGGCAGCCTCGTCCAGCAGGCCGTCGAACTCAGCAGCATCGCTGACCGAGATCTCCGCGATCCAAGCATCA